TCTCTGTCTCTGTCTCTCTCTCTCTCTCTCTCTCTCTCTCTCTCTCTCATTGTTTATGCCAGAAATGCAGAAGTCATCCCAGAACCTTCCCTTTCAACATCTTAATATGTAATTAACTTCAGAGTCTCTGTGAAAAATATATCTAAGATTGCTTCATTATTCTTCATCTTGCTTGGTTATTTTTTTTTATTTCTCCTTCTAATTAGTTCTCTACACAGTATCCATATCATACTGTCATTAATGATATAGGCCTTCCTGTCTCATCCCTCCAAATTTTCTTTGTTGTTGTTTAGTTGGTTTGTTTGTTGAGATGGATCTCAGGTATTGCTTGCTTGCCTTGAACTCTTGATCTTTATACCTCCACATCCTGAGGGCTGAAATTATGGGGTAGTAATGAAAAAGATCTTCTGGACCAAGCCTCAGCTTACCGCTCAAATTTTTTTGGGGGGGCCACTCTCTTGTTCTAGTCACAGTTTTGGTTTTGACACCAATGCAAATCTTTACCGAGTGTTTTCTGTTCCTGTAATATTTCTCCTAGCTCTTGACATAGTTGACTCATTCTTTTCCTTTGTAATAGACCTCAAAAGTCATGTCCTAACGTGCTTGCCTACCCTTCTCTAATTTTGGTTCAGTATGATGCTGGTTTTGTTTCATAATGCAGTGCAATTTGAAATCATTTTTTCTGTTGTTCCTCTCCTCCTTCCCTCCCTCCACTTTTCCTCTCCTCCTTCCTTCTTTCCACACTCAGATGCATGCTTCATGGAGTCAGAGCTCACAACTCCCAGTATGTGTCCTTGGTGCCTACCAAACTGCAGCATATACATAGAATAATTCTCATACTGTTTGTTAAGGAAGAGTTCTACATTATTACTGTTAACATAGTCCCAAGACATTACTGGTAGGTAGGTTTAATTTGTTCTAAGGCAAGACCAAATTTCACCAAGCAAGTCTCATCTCCAATCAGTCCATTTTATTTCTTATTTCAAATTATCTTAGGAAAACATTAATTGCTTTCTCTTCCACCTTTTCCTAGGGTATTCTTATAAGAAAAAGAAGTTACAGAATTCAAGGTAAGAATGATTGGAAGAAGGAAAAGGTTATTGAGGACCCCCTACTATCATATGATTTTATTCTTCCTCTGAGAAGTTCTTACTCGGAGCTTTGAAATCTTAGCTTAGATTTCCTTTGTTTATGAGATGAACAATGTACAGCTGCCCTCCTGTACATTTAGCTTCCTCAGTTCTCAAGCTGAGGTGTATAATTTGCCATCTTATTACTAACAATACTTACTTATCTCTAATTTTCAGTGACCTGAACCTTTAACTGATTGAGTGTTTTACTATTTTCATGGTGTTAGCAAAATGAGAGAGAGAAACAAACCAAACCAAAACAACTTCAACAAAAAACAAATCTCAAGCCACTATGGCTGAGGGCAGGCTTGCCTTGTCTGTGGCTTTGGACAAAGCACTAATCAACACTAAGCCTGGTCTCTTCATTGGTAAATGCTCAGAATAAGCAACTCACTGACCAGAATTGCATTTTAAAGAAATAATGAGGAAAAAATATGTGTAGCTGTCAATTTCTTACAAGTTCAACCCATTTCCTATTTGTACACACACACACACACACACACACACACACACACACACACACACACACATTTTATAGTTTCAGTAAGATTTCACACATGAAAAATTGAAATGTATTTCAAGGGAAAATATCTGCTGAATGTAGGAACAACCTCTTATTTCAGAATTTCAAAGACAAAGTAATATAAAGTGAAAAGTCATACAAATCCAAACACAGTATTTAATTATCAGCACCATTATTCTTCATTAGAAGTGAAACTGGAAACATGATATTCATAGGTAATGCCGACAGGCATCGATTCACTATCCGTGAAACAATGTGCTCAATATTTAGCTCTTCCTGTAATGGTAAACCTATAACTAACCAGGAACTAGAGTGCTGTGTTTGACTACTGTAACTCCAGCACAGCATCTGATAAACACCAGTGATCAGCTCTGATG